CTTATTCCTGAAAGATTTTACGGGTGAGCAGAGAGCTAATTCTTATCTCTGATCCTGCCAGAAACCTAAGCAAACTGTGACAGATGATAGGATGTGATTTATTTTATTCATACAGTTTTAAATCCTGTACTTTTCTGCCTGTTTACTTCAAATGCCCTTTATTCACTTGGAAGAAGCATTCACCTTGCTATATGTTCAATACTGCCAGTGCCACAAGAAAGCATCAGGAAAGTTTCACATTCATATTGCTAGATTTTATTACTAAATTTATCAACAAAACCAAAGAAAGATTAGCCTGTGGATTTAAATCCTATCTAGAGCATATGTCTTCTAAGTTCAGTAGACAAATACATATATATGCTGCTTTCACTTCTTACATGAGAAGAATGAAACAAGAATTATGAAAATCTTTTGAAGAGAACAGGCTCCTGAAGGGTTTTTTTCATCTTTTCTTAAAAAGCAACAAGGGGCACAATGATGAAATACTATGCCCAGGCAACCTAGATGTTCTTTGGGTGGCAAAGAGGGTCACACTCACAACTGCTTTTCATGCCCATCGCCCTCAGTTCCTTTGCTGACCTGGTCATGCCTTTCTTCCATGGCCAGAGAATGCAGAACGTAGTTTAGCTGACATATGACCTAAATCAGACTTACAGACAAATCAAATCCTCATTTCCAGAGAATTTGTTCCAAGGCTTACATTAAGGCAACTTGCAACCTAAGCTCAGCAGAGATAATTTTTAAGTCTTTGATATGTCGCACTTTAAAAGATTTACAGTGTCTACAGCAGACGCTGACCCCATTCAGTTCTGCCAGGCCAATGGCAACGCCGTGGTGTATTTGAGATTTTAATTCATATCAGTACACTAAAGATATGGTATAGCAGAAAATAAAAAAGTGATGAATCACCAGCTGAAGATTTTCAATGAGAAAATACCTGTAAGTTAAGGACAGTATTTTCAAAATTAACACGGCTTCAGAAGCAGATCAATACAGAAATCTAAAATAAATGTTATAGCACTTAATTTTAAAGGCAATATTAACTATTTTGTCTTGGGTAATGGGGAAGAGAAGGTGACAGATTAGAGTTGGGAAGAGGGAAATCATGAAGGCTGTGATTAATCAGAACTGTCTACCCACATTTGCCTACGCAAGCAGAATTAAAACCATCAAACAAGTTTTAGGGCTAGATCTCAGAGGCTGTGGTGGAAATAATATGCCCTGACATTTTGAGAGTTGAAGTGATAAATGATGAGAGCAGCATTTTGTCATTAGAAGTCCTGTGGTCATTTGCAGAGGATGCCGCAGCTCTACTTAGAGAAGAAAGAGTTAAATTACTCAGAGCTATTACATCCTGTCTGCAGCTTGGCGGGACCACATACTGTGACAGCTGCGAGCTTTACATCCTCTACAAACTGACATTTTACACACATACCGAGTGCATCACACTGTTCAGCTTGTTTTCTCTATTAGCCTTAGCAATTAAAAAGGCAGCATTTTCTCCGCCAAGAGGTGTGCCAACCCCTCTCTTTTGCCTTTGTAGTTAAACAGCAAAACTTCACCTTTTCATTCAGATAGGTTCTTGGTTTATTACTAAGGGCATCGATACATACTACGTCTTCCTTTTTAAAACAGCCTTCTTTTGTTGTGATTGAGATTCTTTTGTTTGTTTCTTCTTCTTAATTGAGACCCAGCACAATAAATTTATGTTCAGTCCAGACCACACCTGAACAAGTCCATAGCTGACCCAGATAATCAAATCTGATACAAATTTGAAATAAGGATCCATTATGGCATATATTTATGTCATGCTGCACATCAGGACTTCTTCCTCTGCCTTGGTACAAGCAAAAATGACACATGAAAAAGGTTCATCTGGATCAGAGCTGAACCTATACCAAAAAAATAAGAATGTCTACATAAATGAGTCATTCCACTGCTTTACAACTATCTCTGTGTAAATATACTTTGAAGTACTCAGAAATAAAGTCTTTACTGGCTTTTGAACATCTACTACGATCAGTCACTACTGAACTCTACCTCCTTCCCTCTACATCTCCCATTTTACAACCCCTTCCTCTGCCACTGCATTATTCCACATTTATGATAAATGAAGGTGAATTCCAACCGGGTTTAACAGAGAGGTGACTTGGTCTTCTGGGTATGACATTGGGCAAGCCCCTAAAGATCCCCTGGCTTCCAGTTTTTCTTTCATTCATTTGATGACTTTACCTACCTATGCCTTTGCTACCTCAGAAAGCGTGAGGCACGAAATATCCAGGCAGTTATTTAAACATCAGGAAAAAAAAACAGAAGTGGTTAGCTCTGCTCTTTCTCTAAATGGGTAAGACCTTTGCAAGAGTTCCCCACTACCTGCACCTCCTTCCCTCAGCAAGCTTTTCCTTCTCCATGTTCTTCCAGTTTTATGTTGGTGGGTAACACGTTCATAATGTTCCTAGAAGAGGGGAACTTGATCTCAAAAGAGCAAAATTGCCAGGGAACATCCAACATCCAAATTTTAAATTATGGCTGAGAATAATCTGATCATACCAACAAGCTGTATATGTGCTAACAGTTTCTGAAACTGCACATACCAAATCTTACGTCTAGAATAAGAGATTCTGCACATCAGCCCTCATACAGACATGGTGTGCAGCAGTACAGCATCTTTTGACACACCAAATGGCACTGGGAAGTTGATTCCTTGATCTGTTGACCAGTTGTGCCTCCACCATGGAATTGCTAGAACTGAAAGCAAGCGATACTCCACCTACCAGGGCTCTAATGCTTCAGGGGGCCCTGACAGAAGTTGATCTTCTGCTGTGTCCTAGTGTTTTGGTCACAACTCTGCCACCACTGGATCCGCATTATCAGATACTGTCCTTGTCAGGTAGCTTGAGACAAACTTTCTTGTGTCCACACTGAGCAAACTAAGAGGTGCTAGGGGCCATAATAGTAACTTTGTTGCATTATCCTACTGAGACAGAGACCCTTTCACTGGTTGTCTAAGAGCCGAACTGATTCAGGCCAGGAACTGATTTAACTCAGAAAGCTGTCTCAAACATGGCTATAAGAAACAGCTAAGGAAAACTAGTATATATCAGGGCACACAAGTAAAATACCTGCCCCAAATATTTTGTGCATTTCCTCTCAGCACATCTGGTTTAGTTTCTACTGGAAGTAATCCAGTTTGTGCAACATGAGACCACTCTATGATGCGAGGTGAAGCATATTAAGTGAGGAGGATCAGGGGGTTCACTTCAAATGCACTCCTGATCTGAATTAAAATGCTTGTATAAACACAGAGATAGGTAAGGTCAAGGAAAAAGAACATCGCTTCCACCTGAGTTCACCTAAACTTCTTGAACCCACAGCATTCTCTAGAAAGGAGTTCCACAGATCTGCTGCATAAAGAATTACCTGAATTATCTCCTTTTTGCTTGCTTTGAACCTGGCCACAACTAGTCCCATTTGACAGTCCTTAGTTCCTATACTGGAAAAGATGGTAAACAGTCAATCCCTATCTACATGCCTCCTGCAGTTTAGGAGACCTCTACCTATGCCATTCCCTGCAACTCTTCTCTTTTCCAGGCTGAAAGGACACACCATGTAAAGTCTTCCTAACACAGCAGCTGTCTGTATCACTGATGATCCTCACTGTTCTTCTCAGAATGATTACAGAACTAACTTAACTTTCTGAAACAAGCTGCTGTCAAACCACGGCTATAGAATCGGATGTAGTAGTATATGCTTACTGCTTCACCCTCTATTCCTTTCCTAACAGTTTTTAACATATGGTTAACGTTAATGCTTCTTAACATTTGCCTTCTTGATCAGCGCTGACCTAATGCACACATGGAACCATCTGTTGTTATCCTAAAACCTTGCTCCTGAGTGGCAACACCATAATTTGACCCTAAAAATGAACAAGAACTTACAGTCAAGTCTGTAATAACATTAAATGTAATATAGAAGTTTTTTGTTCAGATGCACATTAGCACAAGAAAACCTGCCATTAATGCATTCCACCATTCTTCAAGAAGATTTTAGCCATTATTGTATGTCCATTTCTTGCTACACTTCAAAGTCACCATCTAATAACAAAACTCTTAATCCTAGTCTCCTGGAATATTACACATTTAGTCTAGTACCTGTCCCATTTTCCCTTAATCCATCCTTTTGGCATGTGTGTGCTTTGCTTGTTTTTCTTAGGATTTTACACCATTTACAGTATATGCCAAGTGAAAAGATCAGGTATTGCCTTTATAGATGACATGTATCATCTATTCCTGGCAGACATGTAATCAAGTAAAATAACAACAAAAAATACCTTCGGAGAGTTACGCAGCAGTATCTTCTTTTCCCCCATGATCTTTTTGCTTCAAGTCACAAAGAATTTTAAGCCCAGCTTTTCAAATACCTTATATTAAATTTGCTGTGGAAGATCAGTACTGACTGATCTGACGGTGTTTCTACTCATCTCAGTGTGCGCTTCAATCAGTAAAAGGCCAATCTATGTTACACATGGTTTGTTTATAGGGACCTATCCAGAATATACGCTTCTTTCAGCATATAAAGGACGTCAGACAGAGGCAAATGCAGTTATCTGTGCAATTCCACTGCAGCTAAGCCTACCTAAAGGGCCTCTTTCTTTAAAACTGCAATGCTACAGTGACTTGTGTGATCATGTTGCCCTGACAACCAATGGAGATCCTCTTTACAGTTAATCTAGCAGACACCTGTACTTCTGGGACAGATCATTGATCACCATCACTTGCATTTCCTCCCCCACTGCAATAAACCATAGGGATTATCAAAATCAAAAGTGCACCGTACAAACCCAGTGTGTGCTTAACTGGTGCTATTGTTATCTTGCATCCCTTTACCTCAGTTGCCTGTCTGGTACGGTCGAAGCACAGATCAGTATGAGAGAGTTTGCCTCACAGTCTTGGAGTGTTCTAATTTACAAAAAAATCAAAGAAGAAAAAGTGCCCACATACCTTCAGGACAGTCCACTGCTCTACAACAATTGCATCATAGCCCTGTACGGTTTTACTGTCTTCCACAGTAACATCTTCAAAGAGAAATATTCCATCCATTGTCCCATGTAAAGAATCTGTGAAAACACAGGATTATCTGTAAGCTTTACGGAAGGCACTCTATGTGTAGTGAGGCATTTGAATTTATTAATAATAAATTCTTCCAAGGATGCTCATAAAAAAGTGCATAGATCTTCCTCCTATAGTCCAGCTCTATTAAATGAATGAGACTATTAGCTACTAAAAACTCTAGCAGTTTTTAAGGGCAATCCTACTCTCTCATAGCAAACCTCACTGTCCACTCTGCTACTCCAGAGTTTGTCCTCGAAACACACAGCTCTCCCATTTTGAGCAGGCAAAATTAATTCAGCCCTTGTTCAGAAGTACTGCTCACCTACTTGAAGTTATACACACACTTTGGAGACTGAAAACCATGTATCATGACAGCGTTGTAAGGACTTTTGAAAGTACACTTATACCAATGACTACACCCATTCATTCACACAACTCAGGACCCTACATACAGATCAGGCATTGCAGTTGCAGTGATCTACGTGGACTAAGGATGATCTGGCATATCTGAACAGTGTGAAAGAAAAGGTACATTCATAACTATTTAATAAATTTATGAAGGCATTTTGACCATCTGGTTCAGTGCCTCTCTATTCTCATTTGCATTCTCAGCACGTTCAGCCTTTTTCCAGACAACACATACTATTAAAGTTACTTGAACAGCACTTTCTCCTTCAGCTTAGCCATATACTCCATAATCAGCAATCATTCCCATACGGAAGAACTCAAGTTTTGTCAGCTCCATGACACAACGGAAACAGGATAACTGAAAAAAGTCCAAACCTTACCTTTCTTTGCTGAAATAAACTAAACAGAAAGAGGAAACAACAGAATTACATTTAGAAAAACTGTAAATAAGCCATGCTGTACTCTTTATGAAAACTCCTCTCACATTGACACAAAGCATGTTTTTCAGCCTTTCTAGCTTAAATAATACATTTACCCTTATGACTGATTATAAAGATCTTGCTCACCGCCCCCCACCAAGTGTTATGTTTTGCCTTATAAGAAAATTTTGCCTTTTGCCTTTCTTTACATTTTTAGGAAAACTATGTCCCTTGCACAGGTACAACATATGGGTTTGAAATACAACCACACCTGCCAAACTGACAGATCTCTGAACTGACAGGAGAGTCTTCCAAGTAAGTCTACTTAGCTGTTCCATCAAGTCCTCCTGCTTTCCCTGGTGGATGCCACAAGGTCAAGAAATGCCAGCAGGAAGGCACTGCTGCCTACAAGGGTAAAAACTCAGAACCAATTTTCACAAAGGAGGCAATGAAAAGGATTAAGAGGCTTCTCATCTCTTCCGGATACAATCTCAGTCAACATCTTCCAATGTTATTATATGATCTGAATTCAATTTATCATCTGGAAATAATAAATCTGTTGTGGGCAATGCGCACAACAAACCAAACTCCTACAGTCAGAGGCTTAAGTCTACCAGCACACTGTATCAAGACTGTTGGTGCACGTGTCAAGCATCTGCACACCCCCCCCTTGTTTCTATTTTCATGTTCTACTACCCTCTCTTGCTGCAGTTTCAATTAAGTCATTAAGTTGCAAGTGAGCAGATGCAAATACTTGTAACTAAACTAACAAAGCATATTTTTTATTTTTACTTAGTTGTGAAGGAAAAAAGCTGCAAATCACTAGGGGTTCTCCTTGGGATTCTGTTGGGAGACTCAAAGAAGTACAAAAATACACTCTCTACTTTCACACTGACTGTGTCCCCAGGCAGGTTTCCTGTAACTCCATTTAGAATAGAGAAGACAACTCCTCACCACTACATCAAGCCAGTACTACGCGTTGGTGCATTGCTCCAAGGAGGATGAGCTGGACTACAAAGCAGTAACTCCTGTCATCTAGATAGATTTCTCATGCTAGTGAGGAGAAAAGACATTCTTGTTGTGAACTAACAGGCCAGATCACTAACCAGCTGGGTTACAGGTTAGAAAACATGGGGAGAACAAACCTGCCACATACAAATGAGTACAAGATTTAATTAATCATATTTAATTCAGGAATGGCACTTTGTTAGACCCTACATTTCAAAGCAAGAACCAACTCAGCTTCTGTCCAATATATCATGTTGCAACACCTAAACCCATACCCAAATCTATTTTAGGATGCATAATGTACGAGTAACCCTTTAATTTTCCAAAGCATGGGGGAGAGGACAGCAGCCAAGGCTGAAAGCACAGTCCTGTAGATCCCTATTAGACGCAGACATGCAGATCTTGCCAGAACAACTTTATACAGCACTGGTGCACTGCTCCTGTATCCTGAATTCTCTTAATGAAATCTAGTGTCGCACTGTTGGCACCACTGCAGCTTGAGCTCGCCCCACGCACTTGCCAGCTAATTAATACGCGATCAAAACACAATCCGCGTGCGTGTGTTTACACTCACTCGTAAATCATCCGTTATGTTTCACTCTGCTGCGCTTTCCACTCCTCCAGTTCACAGCTTCCACATATGGGAACATTACGGCGCATATGTAATGTTTTAGAAACTAAGAGCTGAGCTCGTGAGACCCTACAGGCAGCAGATAAACTTGGCAGTGTTAGGTTTACGGCTGGACTCAACGACCTGAAAGGTCTTTTCCAACCTAAACAATTCTATGACTTTGCTTCCTTGTTGCATGTACAATGATTACTGCTGAATGCTACATCCAGTCAGCTCTAAGATCCATTAATTTTTTGGCCAGGAAAGAAACCTATAGAAAATGGGAAATCTGGAAGGAGAAGAATGAGGGAGAGGCAGCTGCTGCATACTGGTGTCTGATCAACAGAGTGATGCTGGTGAAAAACTCTGTAAGAGAAACTGGTTGATGATGCTCATTAATATTCTCCCTCTTAATCATAACCAACCTCCTCTCTACCTCCTACAGTGTTTAAACTTTGATGCCATAAATGCATGTCTGCCAATTCTCACATCTTGCCTGTACATCTTCCCTTTCACTGGTCATCTACTACCCTTCCAGAGAAAAGGGGGAGATAAAGGAAAGAATAATCGGATCACTAATTCCTTCAGATGTGAAGCATTTGGGATGCTGACAATAACTAGGGGAAAGGAGAAAAAGCAGCAGAAAGAGAGCTAACAGGGTCATATATTGGAGAAAAGGCACACATAACCCACGCTATGGCATCAGGATCAAAAAAAAAGGAATTTCAGGGAAACTCTTACACAGAGGTGTAGAAGGGCAAGGAGATGGACACATGAACTGAGTCTACCTGCAGTATCTTTATCACACAGATGCTCTAGCTCTAAGAGCAACTTAAGTTTACAGCCACATTCTACAGCTGACCCACTAAGTGAGATTCGCATAATCTAACACTAGATATTTATGATACAGAGGTCTACAGCTGAGTTAGTTATCCAAGGCTCTCCTTACAATTCATGGAGAGAAATAACCATTATTTCATTCAGGACCTAGTTTCGTAGAATATTTCAGGTGAACTGCTCAAAGCAGGTTCAGCACAAGTGCAGACCAGATTGCTCAGAGCTTTACCTAGCTGCATCTTAAAAATCTCCAAGGATGAGGACTGAACAGCTTCCTTGGCAGCCTCTTCCACAGTCTGATTGTTTTCATGATTAGAAAGCTTTTTTTTATAAACAACCAGGACCACTCTTGTTTCAATTTATATCTATTTTTCTCATCCTCCTACCATATACCTGAATCAAGAACCTGGATCCATCTTTTTTATAGTCTTACAGGCACTGCCAGGCACTGTTAGATCCCCCAAAGCTCTCCCTTCTCCAGCCTAAACCAACTAGCTCCTCAGTGTTTCCATTCGACAGGACAAGAGCTCCAGCCACTAACTTATTTTGTTGGCTCTCTGCTAAACTAGCTCCAGTTTGTTGACATCTTCCTTGCCCACTCTGGGCAAGGGCCCAAAACTGGATATAGAATGTGGTCTAAATGCAATCTAATGAGCACCAAGTAGAGGATGATAATCACTGTCTTTTATCTATTGGCTATGTTGTCACTACAGGCTGGTATGCTATTGCTTTCTCTCCTGCCAGGGCATCCTGCTGGTTCACTTTCAGCTTGCTGCCTACTATTATCGCCCACAGGACCTTTTCAACAGAGCTGTTACTCAGCAAGGCAGTCCCCAGCCTGGAGTAGTGCAAAGGCCTCTCTCTCCCTTCCCAGAGGCATGGACGTGTTCCTGTGTAACCTGGTCTAGATGACCCTGCCTTGGTAGGGGGGGTGGACTAGATGATCTCCAGACATCCCTTCCAACCCTAATGATTCTGTGGTATTTGCCCTCACAGAATTTCAAAAAGCTCCAGCTGGCACGTTCTTCCAGCCTGCCCAGGTCCCTTTGGACAGCAGCTCAGATCTGAAGCACATCAGCTGCACCCCTGAGTATGGGATCATCTACAAATCTGACAAAAGCAAGCCCTGTTGCCTCCTTTGCATCATGACGAAGTTGTTAAGCACAACAGGTCCCAGGATACATCTCTGTGGTTCTCTACTTGTGACTCCAGGTAAAGTGTGACCTATTGAACATGACCCTCTGAGCCAATCCATGCAACCAGTTTTTCTACCTGTCTAGTTGTTGTCCCACCTAGGCTGCAGAGTTCTAACCTGGATACAAAAATATTGTGAGAGCCACTGCCAAACCTCCTTGATGAATTCACCCAAAATGAAATCTACTGCTTTCTCTTCATCTACAAATCCAGCCATTTTATTCTTTCAATCTATGCTGACTGTTACAAATCACTTTCTCCAACTTCGTGTCCAGAAATATGTTCCAAGAAGGCTTAATACATTTATTCAGCTGAATCTACCTAACTTATCTACAAAGACCAGCCATCTAAAGCTTTTGATAGTGAGCTGGTCCAGTTTTCACAGCTTCTCATGCAAGGTATTTCCCGATTCTGACACAGCTGTATTCTCTTTTGGTAATCTCTTGTTTAACAAGATTTAGCTCCTGGAACTTGGCCTGCATTAAAGAGGTCTTTCCTAACAGCAAATGTTGGTTCATTTGCAATCGGGCAGTAAAGAATGTCAATAAGCCAAACCATTTTGACTTCTCTGTTTGTGGTATCATTTCCCAATCCCAACTCTTGAATTGACATAACTTTACTCTTTCCTAAAGAAAAGGCTCTGAATGTAAAGGCTACAATCACTGTCCTTCCTCTGAAAACATTCCATTACCACTGCATTTTTCATTAAGGTATCCTACTGTGCACAAAAAGCTATTTTCACTGGGTTGTATAAATATTTGATGTAGCTCAGTTGACTAAAAGCTATTTTGATGTTCTTTCTTCTGATTTAAAAGAGGTATATGGGAAAAGATTTCTTACTTTACCATGACAGCTTACCTAGTGGGCAACAATTTTCCCCTTGTTGTCTTTGAACTACAAATCCCCCTTGCTTAGGAAAGTAACCTTTAGGCTGCTATTGCTCTCAATGAGGAAAACTAGCTATCTGTGGCTTTATGTGGCATGTGACCAGAATGTTTGCCTTTGCTTCATATTTGTATTCCTCTCTCCTCCTGAATCTTTTCACCTTCAGTACACACAGAGAAAATAATTCCATATGGATGATAAAAATCCCAGCCCCAGTGGTTGAGGTGACTGTAATTGGCCAAATGCATCACTGCTACATCTTCGTCTGAGGCAATGAGAATTTAACTGATATAATCAATCTGACCCTCTAAAAACCTGACTACTTTCCTTTTCCAAGCAACTTGCATTTTGTTTCATTTGCCGTGTCCTTAAGCACTGTCAATGTTGTCTAGTTGGTTGTCTAGTTTTTTCTAAGTTTGAAAGGCAGGAAATTCACAAACAGAATGCTAAAACAAATACAAGAATGCCATGCATTTGAAGACCTGCAGTTCAAAACGAGTAAAGATGAGCAGGCTTGTGATTACTTTGCTAAGGCATCAAAATATAACCTTAGTTTTGACTCTTCCTCCCTTACCACTCTCATGTTCTCACATTGCTGATTGGAGACCTGTTGTTACAGGAAAGAAGACGACCTTTCCCGTTACATCCTTTCTATTCTCAATTGTATTAATCTGTAGCTTATTACTACAGTCTTCTTACTAGAAGAGGGAAAGGTGAAGTCCTATGATCACTTTAGATCATTAGGGAGGATCAGTTCACACCTGGGACTACAGGCAGAATTAGCAGTGACATGAGCTGGATGAAAAGCACCAGCCAGTAACTAAACTCCAAATTTAAATAACTGTTATTTGACAACATAAGAACATTCAAGGACCAAGCAAGCTGCTGTTTCTAACTTACTAGCAAAATCTGAATATATTTAATATATGATGTGACTCTGTGTGTGGTTTACATATTGTAATTCGCAATTGTGCTACATTTCTGTTTATAATTATCTAGTACAATAAGCAAAAAGAAACAATTGTTATCAGTGAACTTTAAAACTCTTTTGAAGACTAATTATTAAACTGTTAGCAGAAGGAAGAAACAGATTTATGACTACTGACAATCTGGAAATTTTCACTTCATTGGGCATTGGGCAAGAGGGAAAAGAAGATAATATCCCTTCTTTTAAGTCTAATAAGCAAAATAATGAATTCATACTTTAAGCCAAAGAGAAAATGAGACCCCAGAACAAAGAAATGTGATATAACCAATTAAAGAAACTATGCTAATATTACCTTAATTTGGAAGAGGATTAATCAGCTATGAAGAGCTGGTTAGACTGTTATAGAAGACTAGAAAAAAGTAAGGAGCTGAGAAGCCGCCAGCCCCCTCTTTCTTCCCTCCTCCCTACCCTGGTTTGTTTCATAGTGGTTGGCGTATGACTGAAAAAGCTGTTCGTTTCTCTGCAGCACAGGAAGATTTTAGGATTTAAATCATAAACATTTAGCTGCAACTGAAAGCAACCTGCAGACGTTCTTAGCAAATGTTCTTCTAATAGCACGGGCATGTTCATGGCGGTTTAACGTAAGTGTTCTAATTAATACACTTTTAGAAACCTTAGCTCTGAGCTTTTTGACTTCTAAACCTGTTCTTCCTGAAACTGTAAAATGCTAATAAAAATGTTTATTAATTGTTCATCTTCAATCTTTAATTTAATCTGTCCACTTTTACATTATTTGTTGTCCTGTTTGCACTGAAACTTTACTGTCATCATTCAAGCCTACTTTATCTATGTCTGCAGGCAGTTATCCAGTGCTCCTCACTCTGGCATCCAAGTACATGAACTTCCCCCCAGGCCTCTGTTATGTAGATGAATTTTAGAAGTTTAAATAACAGAAAAATTGTGTGTTTAAAGCATTTTAGAGTGCACTGATAAGCAGTTTTTATTAAAGAAAACACTGAGCCTGATAGAGCTAATTAGGTTTGCCTCTATGAGTTGCAATTTATACACATAAAGTAAATGACCATTTGTTTTTAAGCAAGTTAACTAGCAATTACAAGGCTTTCCAGGAAGCTGTGTGAAAGCATTCTTTCAGCTGAACTTTAGACCTTCCTTTTTTGCTACTTGCTTGCAAAATGAAAAATTAGGATTGCCTGTTAATTTCCTGATTGACTTTTTCCAGAACTGACTCATATTACTGTGTTTCATCAGGGGTCCTAGAATTCTGACCAGCAGCAAAATGGGAAGAAGATGCTCTGGAAGCAGTTCCCCTATAATTTCGAGGCAGAAACCCACTAATCTTAGTAGTAGTGCCCAGTCTATGGGTAACCACATTCCTTTTGAAGAATGCAAAACAAACCAAAATTAGGTGAAAGATTCAACCATAAGCACTTTAACCATGAAATACATTAGTCATGTAATTTTCCAGTAAAATTAATCTGGTTGTAACCAACATTTTTATGCTCAAGTACTTTTCTTGGTTTATTCTCAAGGTCCCTTGGTCATGTCTCTCAGACCCCTACTATGCACCAAAGTCTGTCTTTGTACAGCAGGCTTGCCTTCAAAGCCGTGGTGGCCATGAGATTGGCTACAGTATTAAGCTGGATTCAGTGCTGCATTTTCACAACACGCAAAAATCTGGTTTTGAATTTCCTCTTCTTAATTTAAGACCAACATTTATCCATCACTCATAAGGACACACTAGCTAGGATGAAACAAACATAGAAGACAGTTTTGTAAAACATTGTGCCATCGAAGTGGAAAGGGTCAGTCTCTACAGGAACTGAGAGTAAAGGACAAGATGTCAGCCAGATGAAACTGGAGGGTCCTTACACTGACCTGCAATCAGTGTGTGGCAAGACAGTCAAGAGGAAAGCTACTCTTCCATTTATGTCATCTGCTTTACAGTCTTATTAGTTTAATTCATTTTACTTGGTTCTGTTTATTAACTCTGTATATTTCAGCAATTACAGGCTCATCTGTAGTGTGTTTATAAAACACAATACATGATCTGTTTTCCTTATTCAAATGCCAAAATATTTCCTGTGCTTTCATTCCATTTCACTGAAATAGGCTGATCTAAAACAAATCTGCCCCAAGCCTATGCTAAAGCACCTCCCAAATGTCTTCTCTTCAAAGATAATGACCTCTATTAGAGGAGAAAGGAAAATAATCACAGCATAATGCTTTCTGTAATTTCCATACCATTTACCATTCCAAGGCTGAAGATGGCATTTACCAATGAGCCTCCTTTCCTGAAGTGATCTGTCATGTGCTCCAGCCAATTTGCTTCCAAGCTGTTGACAGTCTGCCCATTCCTGGAGATCCTCATAGGGATAGTCACTGTATAATATTGGCTGCATCTTTGTGGGGTTTTAGGCTTGTTGAAGAGAGCGAAGATCTCTGTTTCTACCAAAAAGAAAAAATGGAGTAATGCAACAACTGTATCCTAACATTTCAGCTAAAAAAATGCATAACCCCCTGTCTGCCCTTGCCTGATTACACTGTGCAACTGCAAAAAATACTTTGGGATGTGGTTAACTCCTTAATACGTTTCTGCAGTGTCCAACATGGTACGGTCCCAAAACCCAATATGGTATTTTGACTGCTGTTAAAATAATTGTTACTAATAATGGATTCACTGTTGATAACAGAACATTTTAATATCTGAGTACTAACGCACAACACCCCTGCTGGAGTTACCAGTGTAAGCCAAGACAGGAAAACATGCTCCACAAACTGCCTTAAGTACTGTAGCAGTCACCAAATCACTAAAAATTAATGCACATAATACCTTTATTTTTCTAGTAAATTAATTGTTAAAAGAGCTGTGACACTGAGGACAGTTCAAATATGAAATCTTACTGCAAGTTTAGGAGAAACAGCATTCTGTAGATCATGGTCATTAAGCTAAATAACTTGGTTTTGATAGTACAATGGCATAGAACCAGCAAGTAGTAGTCTCATCTAAAGAAAATGCAATGAATCTTTAATGTAGAGACTGGTTTGTCTCCAGCTAGCTGGATTGATTTTCTCCATGTCTGAGCCAAGGCAAGACATTAACACACCAGCAAACAAATTTTGAAAGTGAAATTGTGAAGGGTCTTAGAAATAAGGACATTATCTAGAGTCTGTTCCGTATTTTCTCCAGTATATCATAGAAGCAATTAATGTAGGCTTACCATCACAAAAAAGTAATTGCTGACAGCAAAGCTCAGCTTTCACAGCCTTAAATTGGAAGCAAGTTGAAGTGCAGGTACATACTTCAAATTCTCACAAGAGTACAACTACCGATAAAATTACCAGTAATTTATTTTTTTTACATTAGGATTTTACATGGAAATGAATGGTAACATTTCTATTGATTTCCAAATACCAAGAATTCTCCCAAAATAAATTAATATAAAAAGTAAAGACAGGATATCAAATTCTTTCATTCAATAATCTCCTCCTGTTTCCAAGGTATTATATTCTAACCTCAAGTATTAAAGAAAGAGATGTCAAGAGAAATGTTAAGATTGCTCTCTAACAAACATCACTGAGCAAGTAGTGTGTAAATTGAAAAAGATAGGAGAAGGGAGATGCTCAGAGTCAGGCTGGCAGCACTTGAAGCAGAGAGCAGGAAGCTCACAATATAACCAGACATGAAAAAGAGACCAATGATATGAGATACAAACCATGATACAAATAGAGTAAAAAGGAATAAACTGTTAACATGAATCCTCTCGCTGTTTACCATGTGTTTAGAAAGAACAAAATTACAATAATTCTAACTCAGAAGAGCATACACAGAAAACTTCTATGATAATTCTTATTCTGGCACCCAAAACAGACTCATGTTGGAAATGGAGATCTTTCTGGTGTGTGTTAAGACATTATACTAACAATAGCAAATCATAGAACTGAAAATCCATAGGGAGATGATAATTTGTATTTTACACTGGGCTGTTGACAACGTGCATTTAAGATGTGTGTGAATGTATCAGTGGTTGACTTGGTTTGTCATCATTACCAACTGTATCCTGCACCAGTCCTAACCACTGTTAAAGTAATGACTGACAACAGTTTTCATCAGTGAGCTTGACTGCTCAAGCATGGACAAAGACACCTTCAGTTTGGTTCTAGGTAACACAGCACTTTTGGACATACCACTGAAATATCTGTGCCTTGTTCACAGGCAAATCATTCTCAAGACTGCTCTGAGGAGTCCTTTAGTAAAAGGGAAAGTGTATGAGCACCACAAAACATTTTAAAAATAAAATGAAGAAGCATAACAGTTGAATAGTATAAAAGTTAAAATAAAGAAAAAAATAAAGATTCCACAAATCAGAAGAAATATCACTTTTTTTTTTCCCTGAAGTTTTATGTAGGGAAGAAGGAGTTCAAAGAGTGGTAACTTCCTATGGAATAAGTAGGCTAACCAAAAAAATCCCCAAAACAACCCCCCCAACACCATACAAAACAACACCCAATGTTTTCTATCTTCATGTTCCCAAGGAAGGATGGAGAACTGGTGCCAAAGACTGAAATACATTTTCCATGGGAGGAAAAGGGAGTGCTGTAATAACAAAAATGCATACAAGAGTAATAAGGAAATCAGCAATGTTGTACAGGCAAGAGATCCTACTGCAGGTGAGCTGTCACACAAAACTGCCTTCTCAGACTTGGAAAGCAATTGTGTAATTCACCAATTAAAAAAAAGTATGAGAAATAAATAAAGCCAAAAGGGACTCAGGGAAACAAGCATAAATAAGGAAACAAAATGCATTTTTTAAATAACTTCTTTTATATGGCAAATCAGCAGCTGTAATAGAATCCCGGGGTGTTACAGACAGACAGAAGTTGGGAAGACTGGAGATGATCAGCTTCACATTACGCAGAAATATTAAGAACATGGTTACTTGCAGCAAAGGATTTTTTTGTGTTCAGTATGGAGAACAGCATCAAAAAGATTATTACCTTGGTAGGTGAACTCTCTCAAGGCTGCATATACAAAAAGAGAAGTAGCTGGGTCTGATCAGACTTGGAGATAAATAACTTAGAACTGTAACACCAAGTGAGGCTGTATAATGTATAAGATTCTAGTGTAACCCAGAACAAATTATTCAATTTGCCTCTTTGCCCAACAAAAATTGAGGAAAGTATGGTGAAGGGTTACTAGAGTGTGATCCAAATCTGATGGCAAAAAGACAATTACACCAAAATGCAACGGAAAACGAGACAATAGTCCAAAGAGGGTACAATGCAAAGTCATTCTTGGTCCTATGTAAAAAAATCCCCAAAAGGGTAGGACTGTTTGACTGAATCTATGTAAGGCATAAAAAACAGGGATAAATTAAAGTCAAGGACAGTACCAGCTGAAGAAATCCCATCTACCTTCCTCTTACATAGATTTGTAGCTTGTAAGCAAAATAAGCAAACTGGTAAGGGAAATGAGTGTACAGAGTTTTCTAGGATTTAAGCTAATATAGGAAAGAAAAATATTTTGAGGTTTAAACTGGAAATGGGGCAAGAATTATTTACTTATAACTTCTCATTTTCTAGATTACTCTTGTCTACATCCCATTTTGAACTACAATTCCTGTTATTCAAGTAACCTCCACACAACAAACCCCCTAAAGAGGGTATTTTGAGACGTCAGCTGAGACTTCTGGGTTTTGATGGCATAAAATGACATTTAAAAGGGGAAAGCACATCTGAGGAGAAATATGTCAAAGAAATGAAAGAAAGAAAACTGGTACATGAAGAATAATTTTACCAAAAAATGAGAATTACAAGACAAATTATTAGCAGCATCACTACCAAGAGGATCTTTATTATGAATTAGCAAACATGAGCCATTAACAAAAATAACTGCTGTTTTCCAGCAATTACAGTTCTTACTGTAGCACTGACCCCAGCTTGTCTATAGGTTACTAGGATACTTCAGAGTACAGATCACATACATTCCT